TTCATGCCTGTTGCTGGTTGGCTAACTAGCAACAGGGTCTTACCAGCCAATGGAATTGTGTGATTACAAGCCAGGGGAATCCCATAAAAGAGGGCTCCCCTGGCCCAGAGAGCCAGTCCGGATTTACTTGATGCCTTGCCAATAAACCGAGAGCTGACTGTCACTCGACTCGTGTCTTACTGCCTGCGCGATCTAACACATATATCAATTGAAAGACTGTTTAGGTAGTCATCAGAGAGCAGAAGCAATGGAGAAGGTCTAACAAAGGAGGGCTGATAGAACACATGTTCTCTCAAGCAGAGTAGACAATCACTTCTTCTGGACTGAATATCTATCTATTTTAATTAACTTTCTATCTGCTCGCCTCTCCCAGGTAAACCAGACAGCAAACACAACTAGACGAACTAATTCTATTTTATGGTAAGGCTACATTAACTTTAGCACTACAAGTCTGAAGACACAAATTTCCTGCCTCCACTTTGAACTGCTTGATCCCTTAGGGTGGGTCCTTCCTAAGTTTCTTTCTCTGATCCTTAAAGCGACTGCAAACTCTTGCCTCCTGTTTCCTAGGCAGCATTTCCTCTCCTCATTCTCCAAGGTCACCCACATGTTCCATTACATCTTAGGTACAGTTAACATGATTCTTCTCTGTAAACATATTTAATAATTTCCACTCCCTATTACATTAAAAGCATACAATTTGAGAACACTTCTAAAAAGTTGGATCCCATATACCTATTAAATCCAAAGGGCTAACCTAACTCTATGTTCAGATACCCTAACTGCATATTCAAATAGCTACAGCAGAGAATTCAATAAAGATTAAAAAATCATCAGGGAGTGGGAATTAAGTTTATCTGCAGAGCAAAGCAGACTATGCTAAACTGAAGTTCCATCAACATTTCATAGCTGACTTTTGCCCACCTTTCCTCTGGATCCCACTTACCTCTCGCAGGCCACGTTTCTCTATTTGAGCCACACACTGAACCACAATGGGGGGCACCCGAGGCGGCTTGGAAGGTGCAAAATCAGCTAGTATACCCTAGGAAAGAGGTTACAAGCATGGGATAGACATCAGAGATCTCTTCCCATCAGACTAAAGTCATTTCAATTCCCCAAAATGTTTTTACCTAGGCCAGGGGTAGGCCAGGGGTAGCACAGCTGGCTCAGGAATTCTGGGAGTTGAAGTCCACGAGTCATAAAAGAGCCAAGCTTGCCTACCCCTGGCCTAGGTGAATCTTACCTGTGAACAATCCTTAAGTTACCCCTGAAGTAACAAAGCACACAGGTCTTAAAGCCAAGCTAACATTACCTTAGCTGTACAGTTCTGGAAGTGAGTAGACATTTTCCCCTCAGAACTGCTAGTATAGAGACAACCTGGAACGACTGTAACAATCTAGTCCAGGTTTTTCAGACTGGGTGGGGGTTCTATGAGACGCTAAAGGGGGAAAAGATTTAATTGAACACAGCCAGGGGCATCATAGCAATTTTTCTAAGTGAAAAGCAACCACACCCCAGTCACTAAATACTGATTTGCTTAGTTCAAACATTAACTTTCAAGTAATTGTAAATTCATGTTGGAAACTCTAATTCTGCATTGCAATAAGTAGTTTACTTTTTATTGATTACCATTTTGGAAGCAAATTGGTGTTGCTGGAGTGGTGGCATTCCTGATGAATGAGTGAAGGCACCAATAGTTCCCCCTGAGGTAGGTCCAATGGCCTTGTGTCCAACATGGCTATTTTGTCCACCAGATTCATCAGTGCTATTCCAGATAGAAGTGAGCTCTGTAAAGAAAAAGATCCACATTCAGCATGAGGTATATATATAAAGGCAGGGACACATCCATCTATTCTACTCAACTTTTCTCCACATACCTGACTGAACCATGAATTAGCCTATATTCCTACCTCGCATTGCATATTTTACCTGCGGGGGAGGGGGAGGAGGCTTTGGGTTCAAGAGTCTCCAGCTAAGAGCTCAGTGGAATTGCTCAATATGGACAAACCCTGGTCAAGCTGGAGAGAATTCTCCAACCTTCCCCTTGAGCACTAAGTCAGGGAACACAAGGACAATTAATCTGCCAAGCAGCAGAGGAGTGAGAGGGTAGATTGAATATTTGGCAAGATCTCAACACACATATGAAGTCCAGGATCCCATCCGTGAGGGTGTCCAGGAAGGAGACCCAAACCACAAGCCCTTTCCTCCTATATACAGTCACTGAAGTTGCCACATTCTTAAGAGAACAAAAACTTTACACTTGAAATTGTTACTGGAGACTGACTCGTAAGCAGNGTCCTTCTCTTCTCTAGACTAGCCATGTGCTATTCCTGTAACCGTCCTTCATGTTTTAGCCTCCAGTCCCCTAATCATCTTTGTTGCTCTTCTCTGCACTTTTTCTAGAGTCTCAACATCTTTTTTATAGTGTGGAGACCAAAACTGGTTGCAGCATTCTAGATGTGGTCTTACTAAGGATTTATAGAGTGGCATTAGTAGCTCACGTGATCTTGATTGAATCCCTGTTAGTGCAATTTAGGATTGCACTGGCTTTTTTGGATGCTGCTGCACACTGTTGGCTCATATTTAATTGATTGTCCACTAAGACTCCAAGATCCCTCTCACGTTTACTCCTATTAAGCCGGGTTTCACCCAATCTATATGTTTAGTTTTGGTTTTTCTTACCTAAGTGTAAGACTTTACTTTGCTCTATATTGATAGGGGCCAGTGTTCAAATCTGTTAAGATCCATCTGGATCTTGAGCCTATCATCTAGGGCATTGGTTATTCCTTCCAGCTTAGTATCATCTGCAAATTTGATAAGTTCTCCTTCTATTCCCTCATCTAAGTCGTTTATGAAAATATTGACAAGTACTGGGCTAAGACAGAATCTTGTGGTACCCCACTGCTTACTTCCCTCCATGTAGATGTAGTACCATTAAGGACTACTCGTTGAGTACAGTTTGTCAGCCAGTTACAAATCCATCTGATGGTGATGCTATCTATCCCACTTTTTTTCTAGCTTTCCAAGAAGTAGGTTGTGTTCTACTTTGTCGAATGCCTTGCTGAAGTCAACTAATTTAGTCATTTGAAGTTAAAAAACATTGTGGTTATACACATGTACAAAATTTTGTCGCAGGAGACAAGACAGACAAACAAATAAATGTTTTGCCATGGCATCTTCACTTACCACTCTGTTTTTGCTTTTGACAGATCTGATCATCCCTACATCCTTGAAGACAAATGAACAACAACAACAAAAAGAAGCTTGAGGGAGGACATGGAAATATGTTATTCACAAGTTGTTTATAATAACAATCATTTCTAAATTTCAGTTTGCAGGCTTCCTCCCCCTTCAAATATTGTTTTACACCATATATGCAGCATTTTGGAAGCACAAGAAAACTCTAGATACCTACCACCTCCAGACATAGATCAATTCCCTAATACATTCAGTAGTGCAAATTGCTTCCAATGGCTAACATACATAGGTGGGGCTTAATTTAGCACACATCACACACATTCTGGAAGCCTCAATAAATAATTGTTTTAATTGTTACTGTCTGGAATAGTAACTGTTTTGAATAATATAGCAGTCGAGAGTCCTGTGTGTGGAAAAACGTTTGGCAGCTGCAATTCATCACGAACTGTGTAATGTTTGTGGACCAAACATGATGAGTGAAGGTGTCGTACATCAATGGTGTCGCATGTTTAAAGATGGATGAACTGATGTGCACAATGAGACAAGAAGTGGCCGCCCATCTGTAGTCAGCAATGAACTCATGCAAGAAATTGACAAAAAGGTCCACGAAGTCCGTCAGTTCATGATGTCTTTCTTTACACTTTCCCCAAATTTCTCAGACTATTTTTTACAAGGTAGTGACAGAAAATTTGGAATACCACAAGTTCTGTGCTCATTGGGTACCAAAACTCCTTTCTGAGAAGCACAAGCACACCGAATGGGTTCTGCTTTGGACTTTCTCACACATTATGCCGAGGAAGGAGAACAATTCCATAACAGAATTGTGACCAGCAATGAGACCTGGGTGTCGTATATGAACCCTGAAAGCAAACAGCAATTAATGGTGTGGTGTCATATGCACTCATCAAAGAAACAAAAAAAACCTCAGCAAATATTGTCTGCCAGAAAGGTTATGGCAACAGTATTCTGGGATGCCAAAGGAGTACTGCTAGTGAAGTTCATGGAGCGTGGTATGACCATCAATTCAGAAGTCTACTGTGAAACATTATGAAAACTCAGATGAGCCATCCATAACAAGTGTCGGGGCATGCTGACTTCCAGTATGGTGTTGGTTCACGATAATGCTCGCCTGCACACTGCTAGACGCACCCAAGAACTTTTGAAGCAGTTCAGTTGGGATGTTTTTGATCACACACATACACCTATAGCCCAGATTTGGTGCTGAGCGACTACTACCTCTTCAAGCACATGAAACAATGGCTTGCATTGCACCGCTTCAACGATAACAATGCACTTCACGATCCTGTTACAGGATGGCTTTATTCCCAGGTGGGAGATTTTTTTGCAGAAGGAATTTCAAACCTTGTAAGACATTATGACAAGTGCCTCAATTTGAATGGTGATTATGTCAAAAAG